AGAGAGAGAGAGAGAGAGCGTATGTGTACAAACCAGGGCAGTTCGATAGCGAATGGGGGAAGGAAAGGGTGTGTGTGTGTGTGTGTGTGTTGGGAGGGGTGTCAAACCATTGTAGAAGGGTATTTTCGTCGCCCACTGCTTCAAGTTCTGAAATGCGCTGCAACAGTTTGTCCGAGTTTGCCTTGTAAAATGTACGTGATCGCCAGCAGAGACATACGCAGGTAGCGCCTACAGAGAACAAACTACCAAGCTTTTGAAAGCCAAACTCTGAGCGAGGTGCAGGGTTCCACTCTCCTACAGCTAGCTTAACATTCGAATCTATGCTGCGGGTCCAAAAGTTTCCAGCCGTTTGGGAACAGAACGACATATCCAGTCTTTCTTTTTAAGCAGATGGGAGAGCCGTAAAACAATTACCAAAAATATGAAAAGTTTATCTTTACCGATGCGTTACTATTACTGCAGTTAATGGAAACTGACCAGTGGTTAGAACGAACAGAAGGGCCAGATGACCTTCAAAGTCAACCTGTTTGCTATTGGAAACGACTTCAAAATGTTTAAAAAATAAACTAAAAAGAAAAAAGTAGCAACTAAAAAAGTAGATTTCCTCCAATGTATGGAAACTTCCAGACATCCCGCACTAGGCATGCAGATTGATGATACTTATTGTCATTATTATCTAAATTATACTTACCGTGCTGTAAAGAGAATGTCAATCAAACTCAAAAACTGTACACACATCACAACAATGTCAAACTAAAACTGTGGTCAAGTATTGAAATACGTTCAACGGTAGGTAATCCTAAGCTTTTGTAACATGATCTTGTTCTTGGTACTACGTACGGAATATGTCTTGAGGAGACCGTCAATGACGCCACGGGTCATGTGATTGAGTAAGAAAGAGAAAGAAAGGAAGGTCTAAAAGAACTTGGAGCAGGGACTTAGATTTGAACCAACAGGAGATGATACAGCTGGACAGAGGTTGAGACTAAAGCCTCAGACAGAAGTACATGGGGAGTTCTTTTTGGTGGCAAGGGGTGAGAAAGGATGATGATGATGATGATAATGATGATGATGATGATGATGATGATGATGATGATGATGATGATGATGATGAT